GCCGACTATAACGTTACAGACTTCGCGGGCGCCAATATTCAAGGGGGCACGTTCAACTTCGGCTGCACATCCTCCAGCGCACAAGCGACGAAAAAAACATTGTGCAGATGTATGACACACTTTCAAAGTATACACTGTATTAACCCTCAAATGGTGGGAACATTTTCCGTCACTATCAAAGTAAATACTATTTAAAGTGTATATTAACTCACTTACGACGGAAAATTGTGTGAAATGCCACGCTTTAATTCAAAGTCTTCACTCTTCAGGCTGTATGTTCACCTACTTGTGATTAAAAAGTTTTTCCGTCTGAAAGCTGTATCAATGATATGACATTCTGTCAAGCTATCCATTGCTTACTTTAAACTGTACATGCAAGCAATTATGACGGAGAACTTGCCTTCCAACTTGACCTGTGTCAATCATGTGACACACTTTCAAAGTACACTGTTTGGACTGTATAGTCTCGCACTAATTTTATAGAGGAAACGTCCGAAAACATTGTCAATGGTATTACACACTTCAAGTCTACACTATTTAGATTGTGTATTCACGCAGTTATAAGGGAGGACTTTTCCGTTTAAAAACTGTGTCAAAGGTATTACACACTTTCAAAGGTATTATACACTTTCAACTTATTAACTGTTTAGACTGTATGTTCACATATTTATGACGGAGAATTTGCCTCCACGTGTGACAGTGTACTCGATAGTGTGACCCCTGGTGTGACCCGGAAACAGATGCGCAACCGGGTGCCACGAAACCCCCATGTGGTGCGTATTTCAGTCAAAAACAACATGGCGGAAACCGCCTAAATTCTGAGTAAGGGCGAACTTTGACGCGTTAATCCGTGGATCCAGTATAAGTTGAAGTCATTGTTTGAACTACACAAGGTTCTCTGTACCTTTCTGATTACGGAGATACATTGTATGGTCTCATTTGACGTATCGTGACCTTTCTACGACTTTTTGTATGGAGCATTCTAAGTACTCAATCCGGCGCGTCACAACACAAAAGACGCCGCCATGATGATGCGAGCACGCACCATGCCATGCCCACGCCAACTTTCGTCTTTCTCAAAATGCAAGCACCAGAAACCTTCTAGAACGATGTCTACAGTTCACAACTTAGACCACAAAGTACGGTAGGGCTCACCTATAATATAGAAGCAGTTTTTGGTCTGTTTTCAGACTTGAAAAGAAGCATGAAAACTCCACTACTGAAACATGGCCGCCTCCGCTGCGTTCGGCCTGCGTCAGTCTCGCGCTGTATCGCGAGAACTCAGCCATCCACAGTAAGCATGTTCCCGCATTCGTCTCGTAACATGTCAAAAATCACAGATATGTTACAAAAATTTCTCAAATGTTTTAGCGCTATTCAAATCATCAAAAAAGTAAGTTTTACTATGAAAATGTTATTGATTCAGTAAATATTGTGACTTTTGGGTAATAAAATCACATGTTTAGCACACAAATTGTGTTCCCGAATGAGCTGCTACGTTCTGCCTGACAGGCACGCTGGTCATTATTAGCGGGTTCCGGTCTGTCCTGTGTGTTTTTACTGCAGACCTTTCCATTGTTTTCCTGGCCAAGTGCGGGCTTCCCTGTCCGCTAACCCCGACCGGACAAGCTCAAACGTCGCCGGCGCGTGGATACAACCCAACCGGGCCGGCTAGACCGTACAGGGCCGCGATTGAGGATCAGAGACCGGCTTCTTTCATCGTATGTTTTTTGGTGTCTAGCTTATTTTCGTGTCATCTCTGCTCTCATGTGTTTTGTATCTTCTTTCAAATTTGTGCCCACATGTTGTTAGCCCTCAACTGTGGGATCGGTAGCGTGTAGCGGTAGCGTGTTCGGATCGGAACCAAGAGGTCCCGGGTTCGAACCCTACCATGTCACCGATCTTGTGCCCTTGGGAAAGGCACTTTGCAAATTTGCACGACTTTCCTCACTTCGCTTGAAGGTAGAGTAGAGTAGAGTAGATTTCTTCGGCCACGTAGGAGCTTGGGTTCCAGTTTAGGCCGCTCCTCACGCCGCTCAGGTGAATGAGCATGCCAGAATGATCATGATCAGATCGTGGAAAAACCAAGTGTGTTGTGAGCTTGTCATTTAGCCGGTGTTGCTGCATTGCTCTTTCTTCCCAGATTCTTTCATTCTCTCTCTCTCCAGGACTTGGATCTCTCAAAATTATATCTCTTTTCATGATCCAGATTTCTTGCTCCAGTTTTGACTCTCAGTTAGTAGTCCAGGTTTCTCTCTCTCTTTCTCTTTCCTTTCTAAAAGTTAGCTGCATCACCAGTTCAATAGTGCCCAAAAAACTTGAATCTTGCATCTTGTAACTGTTATGATTTACTAGTACTAGCCTCTATTAAACAGGCTCTAAAGGTTGCAGGAGAATGGAGGAGCCTGTAGAGGCTAGTCCTGTATAGTGATGCATACCGGTTCACTGGACTTGGATCCGGACTTGTAAGAATGATTAGGTTCAAGTCCAAAAAAACCTAAAAGTCAAGAACCGAGTCCAAACTTATTACCATAAAAGACCATTTCACATACCCCTTTTCTTTCCAAACCACCTAAAACCCTCCGTAGATTGTAAAATCTTTGCTGCAAAACGAAGAAAACATTGTCATTGGACATCGTCAAGTACCGGCCTCCATGTTATGTTGCCAAAGTTTCACCCAGACAACATTGCAAGGCTGCCAACATGCAATTTTGTATATGCCATGGGTTTAGGTCCGGACTTACAACAAGTCCGGAACTGAACCTAAACCTCTGGACTTGAATCCGGACCTGAACCTAAAATTGGGTTTAGGTATGCATCACTAGTCCTGTACAACTAGAACTAAGGTCTCTGCAGCTTTGGTAAAAATTCTGATAAACTCCATCTGGTTCCAGGTTGCGTGCTTGTAAGAACAGCCAGAAGCAATCCAGCATGATAGTAATACTAATAATTTAGTATACCGCCCGAAAGACTGGCTAGTCCTGTAGCTCAGATAAATTGTTTTCAACAATTTCTTGTAATTGTGTAAACTCCGTCTCATTCAGGTTACGTGCTTGTGAGACAAGATAGCAGGATGTACACCGCCATGATGTCAGGCAGGTCCGCGCGGGCCGAAACCCGATCTCGCGCCAAGGACGACATCAAACGCGTCATGCAGGCCATCGACAAGGTCCGCAAATGGTGAGTCTCAAAGGAGTAAACTTATGTTTAAAGATGAAACTTTTGATCCAACACTATCAAATTCTCTCATCTAGAGCTTTTGACCAGTCACTCCGGTCTTCCTCAGTAGACTGACCCAGTGAGGCTTGTATCTCATTACCTGGATGTCGCATGTGTGCCATAATTTTTCTCTTTTTGATCACCTCTTGGTTGATTACAAATGTTCATATCACACCTTGATTTTTTTCCTATGCTGAAAGATTTTGCAGAAGAAAGTACAAGAATCTTATTGATGACAAGTTTATCTTCTTTCCTGCAGGGAAAAGAAGTGGGTGACAGTAGGAGACTCCTCACTCCGCATCTTTAAGTGGGTCCCGATGGTGGTGCAGGAAACAGAGGTAAGGTTCATGTCTGTCAGGTCATAGGTTGTGAAATGTCACAGGTTGTGGCAGGTCATAGTTTGTCACAGGTCATAGGTTGTGACAGGTCATAGGTCTTGGCATGTCACAGGTTGCAACTGGTCACAGGAGGTAGTGGCAGGTCATAGGTTGCAACAGGTCGTAGGTCGTGGCAGGTCACAGGTTGCAACTGGTCACAGGTTGTGACAGGTCATGTAGGTCGTGGCTGGTCACAGGCCATGGCAGGTCAAAGGTCATGACAGGTCACAGTTTGTGGCAGGTCACAGGTAGAGATGGGTCACGTGTCATGTTAGGTCATAGGTTGCGACAGGTCACAGGTAGTGATAGGTCACATTATGCATTAGTTATTTTTCATTATGCATTAGCTGTTTAATGGAGCCATTGATTTGTTGTTGGTTCAGAACCAGAACACGCGGCTAAGAAGGAAGTCGGAGGCAGCAGCTGAGGGGGAGGAAAACAGACAACAGTCTGATCAACAACAACTCAGCCCTCATGAGCAAGGTCAGTTCATGGTCCCGCACAGAACTCTCACTTCAGGCCTGCATCATGTAGTGCTATAACACAAAAAATTGATCATTATCCATGTACATTGTTGCAATTTGATGCTTTCCTTCAACACATGCATGCAAAAGTAGCTTCAGCGTGGAATATACCAACAAATACATGATACACATACATATAAGTAGACATTGACAAAATATATATACATGTATATGTCATAGTTCTCACTAGGCTGTTTGAGCGTAGGGGCCCCCTACGCTGTGATTTTGACCCCCTACGCTGTGATTTAGCCCCCTACACTGTGTTTCAACCAGCGTAGGGGTGGTTTTTGGGGGCAGCTTCATTTATCTTTAAAAAAATGAAAATATAACTTAAGAATGAAGCTATAACAGAGGGAAAACAAAATCTGTCCCCCAATAAACAATAAATATTGTCTTAAGTGGTTAATATGAGTTACAAAATTTTTGGGGGAGAATATCAGGCCCATGTTTTGGGGACTCGGTGCGTGACTCGCGCCGCAGAAAGTTGCCCTTCTATACCTGACCCCTACGCTGTATAAAATCCTGGTGAGAACCCTGTATGTATCATGACAGAAGGGAGTGTGTGAGTGTGGCTAAACTTTATGTCCAACCAAGTCCAACACTAAGTAAATAGGGACTTGGGACAACAAGCGGCGTGGTGATACCAGAAGTAGCGCCGGCCATACCAGGCAGCGATTTTGGTTAATGTGCTGTTATAGTTCTGTGTATTTATGATGTGATCCTTCCTACCCACCAGGCATGTCAGCCCAGCCCCTTGCGTCCACGAGCGGCGTGGTCATACCAGAAGGAGCGCAGGCCGTACCAGGCAGCGGCGAGACGGAACGTTCCATTACACCGGGCAGGAGCCCCATACAGGCCACCAACCCCAGCACACCCGCATGGAACGAGGATTCCAGCAGTAACTATGGTACGGTAACCTAGCAACATCACTATGGTAACAGTAACTATGGTACTGTAACCTAGCAACATCACTTTGGTAACAGTAACTATGGCACTGTAACCTAGCAACATCACTTTGGTAACAGTAACTATGGTACGGTATCCTAGCAACATCACTATGGCAACAGTAACTATGGTACAATATCCTAGCAATGTCACTATGGCAACAGTAACTATGGCACTGTGACCTAGGAACATCACTATAGCAACAGTAACTACAGTACAGTATCCTAACAACATCACTATGGTATCTGTAACTATTGAACTGCAACCTAGCAACAGTAACCATGGTACTGTAACCTAGCAGCATCACTATAGCAACACAGAACAAGTTGCCTTACATGGAACCATTTACCGTTCAAGGTATTGACATGTGCATGATTTGAGCCAAAAAATTTGTAGTAGAGTTGTTGTTGCTGAGACAATGTTTGTTGTTTATTGTTTGTGTTTATGTTTACCCCAGCTCCCAGCTCCGTGGTCAGTAACGATGATGAGAACTCTCGAGCCAGCAGCATCGGGGGCGTTGAGCTGTTGGGTACAGCAGACAGCCAGGACAGGACAAGGACAGAGGACAGCAACTCTGGGTCACTAAACACAGGTATTCTGATAAGATTCTTTTTGAACTAGAAAGGCTGACATTTGCTTAAGAGCAAATACAGCACATTTCACCCATTCTTCCTCCCCATTCCAACTTTTCCCATTCCACATGCAATCCATACCACCCTGTATTTGTTTGGAGATTACCTTTCCATACAACCCCATATCTGTTTGATTATCCGAAGTTTGTCTGATCATGCTTTTTCTACCTCCATGGTTTGATCACATTATCAAAGCAGGCAATCAGCCTTCAACATGTGAACAATATATTCACCATGCAACCAGTGTAATTGGTAAAAATACAGCACAGTTCAGATAAGAAAAGACACGTAGACAAAAATGTGGCTGTGACCCAGTTGTCTACCAAGTACAAAAGTCTGACAGACCTTCAAATATAGCAGCGATTTTCATTTCAGCACCACAGACATGGACAGACTCCCATAAGAGTCATCAGGACAAATTTTCTTGAAGTAATAAAGAATCCTGAGCTCCTATTGGCAGCTCTGGGAATGAGAATGGTTCTCTTGAGCCTAGCAGTAAGCGGTTGAACCACAAGCTCTCAGGGAGGAGGCCCAACTAGTCCCTAACAGTGATGTGTACAATGACTTGTACTGTTTTTGTCCTGCAGGATGTGATACCAGTGGGGAGGACAAGACCACAGACCAGCCACAGGGCAACGCCCTACAGGTTAGTCACCTTTCACTAGACTTCTTATAACATATCTGATATGAATATGCCCCCTTTCATGTTATTTTCATAGGAAAATACATTGTATGTTGTTCAGATTTCTAGCCCACAGTTTAGGTAGTGTGAGGAAAAAGCCTGAATACCACAAAACACTTGAAATGCTGTGAAAGACTTAAAGATTCCGTGTTTTCTCCCTAGATGTCTCGAGACGCAGAAGAAGGCGGTCCGCCGGCCAAACGCTCCAGAACAGAAGATGCCATGTTTCCCTCCGCAACTTGACCTTCCCAAGGTCGTTCTACGTCTAAGAAAACCCCGACTGCCACTCTGTACCTCCAAGGAACACATATAAGACTTTTATCTTCACAAGGACTGAAAGGAAAGAAAAAGGATATCTGTCTCTTATTCTTATGACAAAAATGCCCACAAAGTCAAGCTTGAAGAAATGATCATGTTTATGTCCAAAAATCTCCAAAATTATATGTAACATCTGTGTCCATAATATCACCAGGGTCCATAATATTGCCACCTTGAGAAATACTGTGCTTAAAGATATTTTTTACTGCAACATACTTTTGGTATGCACTCCTGCACACATCAAATATACATACCTAGGGTATGTTGCAGTAAAAATATCTTTAAGCACACTATTTCTAAAGGTGGTGATATTATGGACCCTGGTGATATTATGGACACAGATGTTAGCTACTTCCATGATGTACATGTAGTATATGGACAGACCTTTAGTTCTCCTGTTGACCTGAAACTTATTGTCTGTCCTCGTGACTGTAGATTAGTTGTAAACATATGGTATGTAGTACTATTGTGTATCCTTGTTACATTTGTATTTGTGGTTATGGTATAAGGTAATGAACTTAAGTCAATATTATTATGAAGTGTTGTAGTTTGTGACAAGGATGGATTTTTGAGGAAATTTGACGTGTGCAAGTACAATGTTTACTGGTGCTGGTACTGGGGTAGAGGTTTCCTTACTTAGATTGAGGGTAGGACATTTGGTAACGTTTATTTAAGTCTTACATTTATGTTTTTTTTTGGGGGGGGGGAATAAGAACTAAACTTGTCAGTTTAGAGAGACACTCGTCTTTTTTCAGGTGCAATTGTGTAATGTACAATTTGACATGGATTCAGGCCAGATCCCATCTAGCCTGGTATCCAGCCTTGTTAGCTTTAGTCCGTTACCCAAGATCCGCTCCCCGCCAACAAGGGGAGGGATCGGTTGGCAGGGAGCGGATCTTGGGTAGCGGACTAAAGCTAACAAGGCTGGATACCAGGCTAGATCCCATCCATAAAGCTATACCAGACACTGTCAGACAGACTTGATTTTCACAGTACATTTTCAAAATTTCAGTGCTGCAAACTTACAATGTCATGAATTTACAGTCATTACACTTTAATGGGTGTAGCTGGAAGTATGAAGTTACTGGACCACCAGGTACTGTTTTGTGGAATTTTTGTACAGTAGTTATAACATGACATTGTGTAGGTAACACAACCACTGACTTTAGTATTGCAGGTAGCCTGTGGAACCCAAGCTCCGGGGGGCTCCCTACATAGTCCGGCGGACTACTGGGGAGCCGGTGAAAAGCGAGGTTCAGTCAGGCTAGTATTGCAGGTAGATGTTAAGTATTTTAAGTGTTATTAACTCATATTTGCAGGTAGGAGCTGGGATGGTCAGAGGAACTGCAGTTTAACAGTTAAACACACGAACGCTGATGAGCACATGTTATGTAGATACATGATGGTACAAATAAAGATCATGTATAGAGGAAAGTTTGATGTTTCTTCTTTCATTTTGAGGCAGCCACCTTCAACTAGCTAAAGATTCTACTGCCTTTGGAAAGTCGTGTAAAGTGCCTTTCTCAAGTGCACAAGATCAGTGACACGGCAGGATTCGAACCTTGGACCTCTTGGTTCCGAGCTGAATGCTCTTTTGATTACTTAGTGATATGTAATTGACTGTCTACAGTAGATCAAACCTAGCCAAGAAGCTCAGGCAGTAAAGATCACAAACACACACACTATCCAGGAAACAGCACAGACATTGGGTTCAGTTGAAGTGGTTTATCACGATTTTGTCAGAAACTTTTTTTGCGACACACGTGCAAGTTTCACTCCATATTCTAACATCTCTGTGTGAACATCAGGAATTATTTTGTGAACGATCACAACACGTGTACATATGGTCTCCACCAGGTCCCTTTTGAGTCCTGCCTTGTTAGTTTTGTCTGCTCCCCAAGATCTACCCTCAAACTGAGGGTTGAATGTAACAAGTTGTTTTGTGTGTTATAGCCAGCTGCCGCCGCACCGGGTGCCTGCGTAGCTGGTGTGTTACCCCAAGGGGCTGTTATACTGGCTATACCAATACAGATACATGTACCAACAACTTAGTGGATCTTGTGGACTGGACTAAAGCTAACAAGGCTGGGCTAAAGAGTCTGGGGGCGACAATCATGATTTTATGGTTGGTTTTAGTGAAATCTACATCTACATTGGAACGTGTACGTCCACAGACTCACCACACTGTGAGCAGGCACAAAGCAAAGGTTCAACCATTCTTATCTGTCCACTCTAAGACTAACGCTTCGCAGCACCAACAAAACAACATGATTTCTCGTCTTTCTACTAAAAAATACAGTCATACTATAAGAAAACACCAAGGAGGGATATAACATAAAATTTCTTTCTGTGAAGCTGATTTTACCCTGTCAATATGACTTTGCCTTCTTTTACTCTTTTGTTGCATAGATTGTATTTTTTAGGACTACTCTTGTCATTTTACCCTAGCTTCTACCAGGTTTTAGGAGGTGGCGGGAAAGAGTAGAAATTCGTCAAATAGAGAGATAAAATGATGAGGGAGTTTGTCCGCTACAGAGTACATTACTCTGCAGCAAACTGGACCAACTCCCAGCATGTTATCTTGCCAATTTCTACTACATGTATTTCAAGCCGGCTGCCGGTAGAGTCCAATCAACCCTCCTTGGATTTCCCTAAAACCGTGTGGTTCAGAACAGACATTTCCGACCCCCCTCCCCTCATTTCTTTTCTATTCTCTGTACATTTCAGGCATCCCTGGTGACAACAACACATAATATCTATTATTTTCTTAATATTTTACATTCTCTGAACTATCTTACAGCAACAAACATTTGGGTTCCTGAATGGAACAATTCACACAGCTCAGCTCAGCTCACCACCATTTTTACAACCAAAAAACTTTAAAGAGAGTCGGACATACATATTATAGGAAACTGAACTGTTGTTCCAACACAAGAAGTCAAACTTGCCATATTTTCTTGTCAGGAAGAAATTGGCCCACAGCTTAAGTTGTGATCAAGTTGGCAGAACATACTGCACCTGTGCAAAACTATGGTTTCTACATCCGTTGAATGTTTAGTCAACATTACATCGGAATTTTGTCCAATGCCGAAGATATCTTTTCTGACACAAAAGCGTGATGTCGTCTTCAAATACATGAACACAACCTTATAAACAATGCGTTCTGTGACTTAACACTTCAAAGTGCTGGAATAACAGTTTGACCTATAATTGTCACTTTACAAAACAGAGAAACTTTCAAACTAAGCTACATGTAGAAATAAAATTCCATCACCACAGCTTGAATAAACAAAATTTTTAACTTTCTCACTGTAACATTAATGTCATGTTAATTCTGTTTTTTTAATTACTGAGATAAATTGATTTGCAGGGTGCACTTTCCATGTGACCTTCAAATTGGTGAATGTTACAAGGTCACATGTTCGTTAGAGAAGTATAGAATAATTTCAGAAGTCACATGATTGCGTATATATACAGAAATATTACATCTATAATTCTAGGCTTCTACTATACAACACTTCTGGTTCGACGCATTTACACATCAAATAACTTAAAAACACTATCAGGACGAAATAAAATAAACCATCCATGGAACAATGAAACATTCTCACAAACACGTGAAAATAAAATTGCACACGATTCTAACTTGTCAACAAGCCACAAATACAGTGTGTGCAGAATTGTTAGCCTCCACCAGGCTTCGGGAAGCGGCTGGAAAAAGTAGAAATTGGCCAGATAGAGAGAGATGACATACAGTTTGCCACACTAGAAGCAGACCAACTCCCTTGGCATGTATTTGGCAAATTTCTACTCTTTCCAGCCGCCTCCCGAAGCCTGGAAGAGGCTATACAGAGTTGTAGCCATGGATGCTCACAAAAAACACCTGACTCGGTACACAAACCAGCAAACGCCCTTTACAATGCCCGCTCAGCAGGCAGAGACTGGGCCAAACTGTTACAGTACTCGGTGTGATCTTTGTGCATAGAAGGGACTTGGGAAAAATAGGCAATGCTTTCCTTGTGGACATACATGTAGCCTGGGTGCCGTTCAATTTGCTAGCCTGATTACCACACTTATTATAGCTCCCGAGTCCTACATTCTGTCTGCTCAATTTGCTACATGATCCATACACTTCTCAAGTGTAGCAAGCCCGTAACAAATTGGGCCTTGTAAGTCTTCATAATTATAGGTTGCCTCTCAAAATCTACGTAATCAAAAATTCATGATTTAACATAATTCATAATCAGCTTTGAAAATATGGCATAATCCATAGTCAGATGTTAAAATTAGGCATAATTCATAATGCAGGGCACCCAGGTTATTCTCAATTGAGTGTATGCAGTGCGCTTTCTACTCACTGTGTACATAATATCATCTATTATAACTACTTCAGTACTGAAGTTACGCAGGGGTTCAGGAAAGCATAGCCTATATACTCCTCAGGCACTTACAAAGTCAAGATCACCTAAACGTTTTTACGTAACGCACAACATGAAATACATTAACCCTCTTCCTGCTGCCTGACCCTGTAGCTGACACAGATCTGTTACCAGCAGGCAAACTTAGCAGGATGAAGGTTAATTAAGCACAGCAGTCCTTGGTAGCAGCATTGGGCCACACCAATTCAATTTGCTGGTTCTAGAAGCATTAAGAAAATGGAAGATCAACATGAAATTTTTAACAGACTCTGTCCTTGGTGCTGAACACCACAACAATGGAAATTTCCCAAATTCCTTCAAATTCCCTCAAAATAATTCCATCTGGCCAGTGCTTTTGCCCCCATTATCAATCTGGGAGTAATTGTGGGCATGGTCAGATACAAGTTTTCCTTCCATCCCTCCATTTTTTACTGCTTTTAGTTATTTTTTTGCTGAAGATGTCCGAGAACCAGGCAGCTGCATTGGTGTGGCCCTGCGAGTGTTCCTCAATGCCAGAGGCTGAATTTGCGCCGACCGTTCCCGTTGCTGCTGCTGTTTTTGGACGACTGTTCTTCGCTCTGAAGCTCCGCTCGAACCTTCTTGTTCAGCAGCGTGTGCATGTCCACCTGGTAAACAAACAAACAAACAAACAATAAACAAACATGAAACTTGAACAGGGAACTGAAACTGTCATAAGATTTCTTACGACTCTATTTCATTGTAATCTGTATCTGTATCTGTATAGCCGGTATAACCGCCTTTCGGTGTAACACACCAGCTTCTGTATCTGTATAGCCGGTATAACCGCCTTTCGGCGTAAACACACCAGCTAATGTAATGCCTCAGGACAAGTTCTGCATTGATTTCCCTGACAATAAAAGTAAAACAAACACAACAGACTAAACAGAACATAAAGTGAGTGCAGTCGAATCAAGACCAGGTGAGGGCTAACATTGCCTCATGCTACAATGTACGGAAAAGAAAGAGTGCTGGGAGGACATTCAACATTAGCCTGGATGCCATCCTCTGTAGTTCCTGCGTGCTCCGTAATGTAGCCAGCGACATTTGGGAGTGGGCAGAAACTACAGAGGATGGCATCCAGGTGCGACAATACACAAGCCACAGACGACAACAGAAAGACTGGTCCAACATGCTGCATGCAAGATGCCATTGAGATTCAAAGTTGTTCATCTGGAGTGGACTAAGAAAGATACCGACCTGTCTGGGAGGCTGAGAGAGAAGAGAGACGGGGAATTTGAAGTGGACTACAGGCTACAGAAGTCAGAAGAACAGGAAAGAGGCAGATTCAACGGTGCTATAAAGGCAGGAGTGGTAACATGATGAAGAGCTTAGTAACATGTAGCTAATTTTCATCCTAGATATGTCAGGAACAGTCAGTGCTAGCAGACAGAGGTAAATGACAATAGGAGAAACAACAGACTGAGTGAAGCAGGCTAGGAGTGGACATTACAACATGCTACAGTTTATCTGTGCTGTACCTACAGTATACATTCATCCTACATACATGTCAATGGAACAGTCAGTGCTAGCAGAGGTGACAGGTGTACAGGAGAAACAATAGAGCTACATGTGCAGACAGGGGTGGACTTACATGTAGTTAACATGTCAGAGTCAGAGAACTACAGGAACACTAATTGTGCAGTCAAAACAACTTTTCTTTTGCCCAGCTTTTTTCTGCACGCTGGCATCTGTTTGGGGTACATATTAGAGTGTGTGTGTGTGCGCGCGTGTGTGTACGTGTGTGCGTACGTGTGTGTGTGTGCGCTGCGTACCTGCCAGTCCTCGAGCTGCTGACTGAGACTGATTTTCTGCTGAATTGCCGGTTTGTGTGTGTATGCACATGCATGTGTGTATGTGTGTGCATACATGTACATGTATGTGTGTGTGTGTATGGGGCAAACAATATACATAATATTTTATGATATTATAAACCCCGCATATATTACCTGCCAGTCCTCTAGCTGCTGACTGAGGCTGATTTTCTGCTGAATGGCCTCCAGCAGCTGACTGTCCAGGTTCATCACGTCAATCTTCGCCTTCGCAAGTTCAACCTCCATCGAGTTTTGTCTGAAGATAGAACAAAATAATTTTAATTGAGACATGAGAAGGCTTGGAAGTGATCCTTTGTACCCAAGAAATTAGCTGATTATCTACTAGTAGATCTTTTACAAAGCAGATGCCGATTAAGCTTGCTTTTACTAACGTCTGCAAATACTTTTCAAAAACAATTCTAACTCTACTCTACTCTACTCCCGGATAAATTACTGAGATGACTGAGTGATTGGTCATTAATTATCCTGATGAAGGCAACAGTGCTCATTGAAAATTTGATCTCTATAACCCTTGTGTTGGAAGAAAGTTCAACATTTTACTATGAGTAGAGAGAAAGATGTGGAGAGACTAACTTCTCGATAGCACTGTCTCTGTCTTTAAGTGCCTGGAGTAACGCCTCGTCTCCTCCTGTCATCATCTCCCGCTCCTCACGCAGAGCCGAGATGTGCTTCTCCTGCTGCACCACCTGAAGGAAGTGCAAAAACATGTCAACACACATTAGCACAGTCATGTACACACACAAACATGCATGTACACAAACACACACATCACACATACACGCAGCGCTGAGATGTGCTTCTCCTGCTGCAGAACCTGAAAAAAACATGTCAACACACATTAGCACATGTACACAAACACGCACACACACACACACAGACACACACACTCACGCTGACACACACACACACACACACACACACGCTGACACACACACACACACACTGACACACACACACACACGCTGACACACACACACACACACACACTCACGCTGACACACACACACACACACACTCACTCTGACACACACACACACACACAGAGTAGATCTTCCTTCTCGTACCTTAGATCTTAAGTCGTCGAGTTCCTGCTCCTTGTCCCTGATGTCCCCCTCCCTCTCCTCCATGTCACATAAACACATACACACACACACGGTCCATCTTTAAGATATTGTAAGTCGTACCTTAGACCTTAAGTCGTCGAGTTCCTGCTCCTTGTCCCTGATGTCTCCCTCCCTCTCCTCCATGTCCTGCTGCAGTTCCTGTAGCTGCAGGGTTGCTGACTGCAGCTCTGTCTGCAGCCGCTCCACGGAGCCTGCGTAACCTTCTCTCTCAGACTTCTGCACATAAAGTAGGGATGGTACAGGTTAAGCACACTGTTGGGGTCTTTTTTCTGTAAGTATTCCCAATCTTGGAGTGAATCAGCATGTACAACATACTTCAAAATACTCCAAAATCTATCCAGTTGCTTGAGTAACTGTTTTCTGGTGTATCTCATCTAAACAAAATATTTTATCTTTTATGTTTGTGTTGTTATAATCATAGTTGTTTTGGGGTCCAAAAATATAATACAACATCATATAACAGCATGGTACAATTTTTATGTTATGATTATCATAATGTCAAAGCCTGAGTGTATACAATATGTACAATACGTCAATGAAGGTTAGACATCTAGATACTAATAACGTCAACGTCGATTTATAAATGATCATTTGAGTATTACTATCTATTTTCCTGACTGTGTTATACAGTAATGAAAATACAGATGGTTACTCAAATCATTTATAAGTTGCCTTTGACTTTGGTTAATTAGATGTTTGTGTAACTTGTTATTTTAATCATTGTTAGATTTCACACTACCTCCTGTAACGCTGCCCTCTCTCGCTCCAACATGGCGTCCACGTAATGTCTCAAGGTCTCGATGACCTTGAGCAGGTCACCGGGTCGGAGGTCGTCGGACTGCAGGATTTCTGCAGCCTCCTCGACGCGGCTGCTGCTGCCGTCTGCGTCTGTCCGGTCCCGCAGTGCGCTGCACAGGTCCTGCAGCTGACCGTACGCCTCTAACACGTCATTACGCAGCTGGACGGCGAACACACACAACCACGTTAGGGGCCAGAAATGCCTTTAGAAACTCACAAAATCAGGTTCACTGATGGAATGGTACAATGTATGCCACATGATACTGGACTATTAGACAATTCATGTACAATGAATGTTGAAAGTCTGATCACTTGGAATGTATCAAGCACTGGATTCTAATTTCAAAGTAACCTCAGATTATGTCACTAAATTGCAACAGAAACAAGAGACTTTGCTGTGCCATAAATTAAGGATTATAGTCATTCAAATGACTTTAAACTGTGAACTGAAACGTTATTTGAAATGAACTAAAAGGCTTTCCACATTCAAAGTGACCAGTCTGAGTATTGACTGTACATGATACACTGTACACCGGCATGTACATGTACATGCTATATGTATACATGACATGTACATTAGATGATGGGTGACATGAATTGAAATGTATCACCTAATGGAATATCAAATCTACCGAAACCACCCCAACCACTATCCCCAACCACCAGTCATGGCAGACCACTTCCCACTGCTGCATGCCGTTAGTTGAACCAACAGCTAAACCATCGACCCAGGCTACCTGCTACCACCAGTGTGGGTCGGGGGTGATAGGTCAGGGGTTAGAGGGTAAAGTTCGCCATGCAGCCTGCACCTGTACTAACTAGAGCAGGGGTGAGGGGTGGGGGGCATGCATGTTGGACCTGCACCTCCCAAATCCCGGTTTCTACTGTAGGCATTGGGGTAGGAGGGGCCGGGTGGTCAAAGAAACTGGCAATTGTTTTTTTAGTATTGTTGTCATATGTTAGAAATGTTTCTAGTTGCTAATGGTCATTCCTTAGACATTCCAAAGAGCCTTTAAAGTTTTTCTTTAACCAATTTTCAAGCTTTTGATTCAAGCTTTTACTACAAAAATCGAAAGTCTCCAATATCTAGATCCAGAGCTGTACGAAACTGCTCATTACACGCTCCTTTCTTGTCTATTTACAAACTGGAAACAACATTCAACATCGCTAATAGTATAAAGTTGTTTAAAATAAATGCAATTTCTCCTGCAAGCCTATAGTGTCATTGACGAAAGGTAGTGGAAGCTACCTGAAATGCCTGACCATTTCCAAAATCATATCCAATTAGTACTCGAGTAACACTTTTTGGTGTATAAAGTTGTTTGTTTGTTTGTTTGTTTCTGTGACCACGCCCCCCTCCCCGTGCCTGTACGTCACCAAAGGCAATGGGTGCTGAACCTGGGAGAGTTTGACACAAAGGATTCCGTAGGACGCTTCTAGCATGACATAATCTAGCTGTGGCTCCTAGGAACACAAACAGGGTGCAAAAAAAGGAATAAAGCAGTCAACAAAAAACCGATGGTGCTATTTAAGCAAACCTAGGTGAATTATACAGGCCACACCAATCATACTTCTTGGTTTTCGAATCTATTACTGTATTTTTCTTAAATAAAGTCCTTTCTTTTTATTGATTTTCAAAATAAAAAAAGGAAAAGCAAGGCACAACATATTGAAGGCATTCTTGGTTTTCTAATTTATCACTGTCATTGGTACATGTATTAGGGACTGTACGATATTTACCGGGGGGGGAGGGCTGGTGCAAAATGGTCCGGTAAAAAATTTTTTCCATGGCCCTCCCCCCGGCTCAAAATTTTTTTCCATGGCCCTCCCCCCGGCTCAAAATTTTTTTCAATGGCCCTCCCCCCACCCCAAAAAATTTTTCGGTGGCCCTCCCCCCCATTTTTCCAATCCATGTCTCTTTCTCCCTCCGTAAATTCCCGATTAAAGTACGCACCCCCGATTTGGGGCTGGTGGGAGACAAATATTCCCGTCTGAAACGTAAAATGGAAAAACTCCAATTAAGTACGCACCCCTTCTACGCACGGCCGGTACCACAGTGAACATGTAGTATATGACAGTTCGTCGTTCCAAACAAATTTAAAATTGTTAAAAACTAGATTTATGCCGTGTACTACGTGATGGTATGGTAACGTAGCGGGAAACGTTTCAAGTTCGTTTTGTTTTTCACCGCCGGCCGCAGCCGACTTGCAAGACGTCACCACCGCATCGAAAGGTAAGGCAAGTGCGGCGAAACGCACAGATTTGGATCCAGCTTTGGAGTGTTGGTGTCTTGGTGATCAAGCAAGCAATGGTCAATAAAGATTCGTGAAAAAAAGACAATATTTCAACATTGATTTTATCGGTAACGGGGGGTAGTTGAATGTTGATGCACAAGTACGTAGCTTTAATGTATCTAATACGAAATGCGCCGAACACTTCTTTAATAGCTCCCGCGCGATTGACCCATGGAGAGCAACAATCATACAGGCGGAGAACTGGGCGGAGTATTTGGGTGTTGAGGTGCTACCGAATTTAAAATTTGACACCGAAACCAATTAACACAAAAACAATACACTACTGGGATCAATGGGACTTTCGATTCCGAACAGGAGAAAGTGACAAGTTTGACTGCGTTTCAAGTAATCTCTCGTTATGTGATAGATGTTTTTGTCACAAAATCAAAGGAATAAACACTATTAATTTGTACTCCGTAAAACTTATAAGTACAGTCTGTTCAGAGGAAAGAAAGACTTCCTTCTCGGGGTCCATGTTCTGGAAAGCTGTCCTCAGCGCTGCGCATGCCACGGCCCTCTCTGTGTTCTTCAGCTGTAGGTGTACTTTGCCTGTCGGCGCGCCAAACACCCCACCCACCGGCCGGGCGGTAAGATTTCATCAAAGGCTACATTTTAAGTTAACTCCGCCCCTATCATTGTAGCTTGCCGAACAGTCGAGTAGGAGTACATCTAGCTGGAATTTTCACGTCGTACTGGCTGGTGTAGCCCGCTACAAAGTAATTTCCTGTGGCATTTATCAATATTTAAAAATATTTGTGATACGAAGTGAAACATGGTTAACAATTTCTGAACCTTTGAAACGACGTGGGCATAATCTTTGTTGAAGATTCCTGAGTTGAACTCAAGCCGGAAGTGTATTGGAAATGATGGCCATCAGTCGAGGCACAACTGTTATGTTATCACATGTTACGTTACGACGATCAAGAACGTTCACGGCTTGCGGACCATTTCAAATATTACCACTCATAAACCCTACAATTGTATGTGTACTTATATTTTTGCCGGGGTTCCACTGAGATCGGCGCCGGCTAGCTGGGGAACGATCCTGTCGGCATGACAAAGCGCCGGGCGTCATTGCCAGAGACCTACATTTTCTTACCGTGGGTGACTTGACTTACCGCAACTTGGTGTCAATATCGACGATAGTCACAGGAAATATGTTCATTTATTGAAGTTTAACTTTATTTCCACTCGTCAATATTTTTATCAAAACATGCTATGGACGATCGATGTTCCAAGCTCACCGTGCTGGTGTTCCGCTATATTCCTGGGTCGTCCACGGATTTGTCGGCGGAAAACTCAAATAAAGTACGCACCGCGACTTTGGCGACGGCCCGAGACACTTCTGGGATTTTGACAAGTGTAAAAAGTGCGCACTATATTCGGGAATTTACGGCGTATTTCTTGTAATTCGGTACAACGCGACGCCATATTTTACAAAAGTTTTTCGGTGGCCCTCCCCCCCAGGCCGATTTTTTTTTCGATGGCCCTCCCCCCAGCTCAAAATTTTTTCCATGGCCCTCCCCCCAGGCCAAAATATTTTTCAATGGCCCTCCCCCCCAGTGCACCAGCCCTCCCCCCCCGGTAAATATCGTACAGTCCCTTAGCTGAAACATTAATGGTACACACAGTGATGTATTGTTACAGGGAGTGAATGTGGTAAGATTCACTGACAGTTTCTCCTTCTGTTTTCATCTTGACCTGTTGCTGAATTTTTGCTAAAAGTGTCCGAGAACCAAGAAAATGAGCTGGTGTGGCCTTTAAAAACCTAACGTGAGCCTGGTGAGGTGTCCGCTGGGGAAGGTACCGGTGATGTGGAGAAACTGCTAGGGGGGGCAGTTGCAAACTTTAAAGGTTTTAGACATTAAAACAGGATATGATCACAATGCTACACATGTGCACTTGTTCTATGTTAGCTGACATCACTACATATTGTTTGAAATCTGACATAATCAGAAGTTGTGACCTACATTTAGCAATGTCATCACATGTTGCTGTTTGTACTATATGACAAGTCGTGTTCTACATCCTGACATCATCACACGCTGTGCTGTTGCCATGGTAACTGCCTCACCTTGTGCAGTTCGTCCTCCTCCCTGTGTGACATGGAGCGCTGCAGGGAGCGCCGGTCGTGACTCATGTCCGCGTAGAACAGGTCGCCGTCAAAATCCTCCTCTATGTCATCGTCATGGAAACGCTGAAACAGCAAACTCAGGCTGTGAGAAAACTGTCACAAAATGTTTTGACTTTTTCTTTAATGCCCACGATCACGATAATGATCATTCTGGCATACTCATTAACACCTGAGCAATGTGAGGAAAGTTGTGTACAATGCCTTTCCCAAGGGCAAAAGGTGGTATAGCAGTATTCGAACTCCGGACCACTTGGTTATACTTTGTTTCTGCATTGAAGAAGTAACAACCAAGATCTGTGATGTCATTCTTCTAGACAGAACCACCTCTGTGTGTTTTTGGCCTTGTTTTGTTGTTGAGGCAGCTTAGGGGACTGAATTCTCTACATTTGACCTTCTGGTTTACCTGATGGCCGATGCCCGTGGCCTTGCTTTATTACCTGACAGACCTGTAAGGATACCAGTCAGCGAGGGACTGAATTCTGTACTTCTGGTGTTGTATTACCTGATGGCCGATGCCCGTGGCCAGGTTCATGTCCACCGTGTCTAAGGTCATCATGAGTCAAGTTTACCTGATGGCCGATGCCCGTGGCCAGGTTCATGTCCACCGTATCTAAGGTCATCATGGGTCAAGTTTACCTGATGGCCGATGCCCGTGGCCAGGTTCATGTCCACCGTGTCTAAGGTCATCATGAGTCAAGTTTACCTGATGGCCGATGCCCGTGGCCAGGTTCATGTCCACCGTGTCTAAGGTCATCATGGGTCAAGTTTACCTGATGGCCGATGCCCGTGGCCAGGTTCATGTCCGCAGTATCTAAGGTCATCATGGAGCTGCTGAGGCTGGCCCCAAGGTCGCCCATCTCCCTGTACAGGGACTGGTCGTTACCGTGACAACCCGAGCCGTACGAGCTCTGCAGCGTGTCCACGCGGGCCTGCAGGTGGTTCTGGGACTGCTGCAGCTCGCTCAGGTCTCTCTGCTGCTGGCACAGCTGCGGGAGGGGGGCAGGGAGGGGGGAGGACAGGGGGTTAGTCAGCACCTCTATAGCCTTCACCACATGCACAACATGGGAGACATCACCATGGCAATGGCTATCACCGTGGCAATGGTCACCATGGCAACGGTTGGCACCATGGCAATGGATGTCACCGTGGCAACAGTCACCACAGCAAGTCATCACCTTGGCAACAGTTGACACCATGGCGACAGTCATTACCATGGCAACAATCATCACCCATGGCAACAACCATCACCATGGCAACAATCATCACCATGGCAACAATAATCACCATGGAAACAGTCATCACCACAGGAAGTCATCACCACAAGTACTAAACATGCAATATTAGCTACTCCACATATTTGACAACAATAGTCCCACCAGATTAGACTATAACAACTAGACTATGCACTTTAGTCACAATACCCGGTGCATGAGAAAAACCCCACAGTTCACCACGCATTGCTGAGCTGTCAGTCGTGGGAAATCATAACCCCAAACCCTGTTACATTGTGCTAAAAATGGATGACACTGTCAGTGAATAAGTGTGAAAAGAAAAACCAAGGACCTGGTGATCTGTGTTGGTTGGTTTGTGAACTGACAAAAAGGTTTAATATACAATAAGTACTTTTTAGGGAATTGGGAATTCTGAGAGAAAACCTGCAGGGGGTTGAGGAGCTGGGGGTAAATAACATTTCTGGATAGTCCATGATTGTGTATTCCGAACCGTGCCTGGAGCAAAATTAATCTAAATTCTTGGATCATCGGAACACAAAGACTATCAAGGACTGTGCCTGATCCTTGAACCCTGACCCATTCAGGCATGGAACTAGATCTATAGAACTGGCTCGAATCTGGACACGATCCTCACCTTTAAAGTTATTAATGACACTCTGTCTCATTGGATAAAGTAAGATTCTTGGACTCAGAACCAGTCTGAGACTTCTTTGCACGAGGGATTACAGAGGCCATCTAACCTTCCCTCAGCAAAGACGGGGGGCGGCACACTCATGCACAGACACTTACAATCAAAGCTTACAATCCACTGCTCACGGAGTCACGTGTGTTATCTGCGTGACGTCACAGAAATACGGTAGATTGCTCATTCCTTGACAAAGATTGGAGTTGTACAGTTGAAAATTTGGGCAAGTCCAATCTCTTGTGTTGGAAATAACAGTTTAAACTGCTGCACGATCCCCACCTTGTGTTCCATCTCCTGTTTCTGTCTCTCCAGCAGCATGATCCGTTCGTGCGACGCGTCCAGCGTAGACTCTAAACCGTCTCGCTCCTCCGCAAGATCTGACAACCTTCTCTCCAGGTCGGAGTTACGCTCACGTAATACCTTCACCTGGAACAAACATACAAAATCAAAAATGTACACCAGGCCTTGTGGTCAGGGTGGTTGGCTCACAAGCTAAAGGTCTCATTCAAATTCCCTAAGTCGAAATTCATTTTTGGGAATAGGTGCAATGGTGCACCCAACATAAAAATTGGGAGCACAAAAATTTTTGGGTGCACCATGTAAAATAAAAATAAGTAAGTCGGCAACAACTAATTATGTTTCTTTTCGAAGGAAAGTACAACAACAATTTTTTATCTGACACTTTGATGTTAAGGATGTGAATGTACAATGTCATGTATACTGCTACATTTAACATCTTTAATTGTTACGTAAACCAATGACAATATTTGGGTGCAGAGCTCCAAATCTGGGTGCACTAAGGTGAACATGCACCCAGATTTGATCCAAATAAAAGTTGTCCCCACCTCAGCGTTGAGACTGTTGACCTGGTACATGTGGTCGGAGGGTTAGGGTTTAAGGGTTAGGGGTAAGGGTTATGGTTAGGGGTTAGGGTAAGGGTTAGGGTTAGAGGTTAGAGTTAGGCTTACCTCAGCGTTAAGACTGTCGACCTGGTACATGTGGTCTGATGCTGAGGTGTTCCGTTCCTTACACTGTTCTCTCAGACCCTGGAGCTGGGACGACAGCTGCTTCTCTGACTCACATGCCTGTAGGACACCAAAACTTTCAGTTAGGCTACAACACAACACAAGCTCAGAGCCGAGTACAAAGTACTCTCAATTAAGTAAGTCTTGCATGGTGGCAGATGTTGGCACATTAGTGTGTTTTTGGCACATATTTAGACAGATTAGGTTAAGAGGTTTGGTGTTCACCACTCCGCCTTCAGTGAAAGGACTTCAAGGTAGTGTAAAGTGCCTTTCCCAAGGACACAACGTCGAGCAATGTTGAGTATCAAACCCAGGACCTATTGGTTCCAAGTGCATGATGCTCTTAAACCATTGCGCCACCCAAGCCACTACAAAGTACTCTCAAAATACAAAGAAGAATGATCCTTTTTCCCTACTCATGAAGCTGCCTTTCCAGACTTCTGATGTCCTTGGTATAAATAAATCCTTACTCTTAACTATCTTTCTACCATTTGTTGACTGGCAGAGGACTTTTCAAAACGTTACTGTAACAGTAACACCTTGAATGTCCATAAAGAGTTACATCAAGTCACCTGTAACTTGCTACCTTCTATTATTCTGCTCTGAACCACTAAAAGTTCCCACCACCATGTCTACAGGATTATTTGTCCCCTAGTGCTCGATGTAAGAAGCCACTTTTGAAACAAGTTTGAACTGCAATTGGCAACACAAGAAATTGGACTCACCCATGGCAAATTGACCCAAATTTTCGACAGTACAACTCCAGTCTTTGTCAAGGAACGAGCAATCTTGTGTAGAAAATTTCAGTTCAAACTTGTCTATAACTTCTACCAACACACTTTCAAGATAAGAAGCCAGTTGTTGTATTTTTGGCCGTAATTCCCCAGAGTTCCCCCCAGGCTGTTTCTTTTGTTGGGTTAATCACATTATTTCTACCCCAGCGTAACTTTACCAGTTTTTCCCACACTCTTTTCTACACCAACTTTGCACACATTCACTCCGCTCTCCTGGGGTTTTATCAAATAAGTGAATTTTTTTTACCTTTCAGTTAGTTTAGGTTAAACTGTGTAGTTTTCCACCACCACTGATGTGCCTGACCACTTAACGTACTACCCAAGAATCTCTAACACGTCAGCTCAGTGTTGTACCTATACAAAAGGTGACTGATTGTTCTCAAACCCTCCAGCCAAAGATCATTTAAGTCTTCCTGTCAAACGGTTTTTAAGTGGGCAATTATGTAAACTACTCAGGGTCAACTTAGCAGCTAGAGGCTCTGAGTCTATTGTTCAAATTTTCTTTCTCCTTCTTTGGCCAAATTCGAAGTGTATATGCTTGAGACGAAGCATAATGCTTTTTTGCTAAGTTTATAATATGTACAATATACTGTTTCTTTTAAAGCCATTAGCACTCAGCTGAAAAAAGTGTATAACCTGAAGTAATCTGGCAATTGTTGTAACATGTATAGTATGACTCATTTTTAATGTGTCTGGTTCTGAGACATGACACGTCTGTGGACACCCACATAGAACCATCTTCTTGTCTATGTACAAATGTAATACAGTCAAACCTGTCCAAGTAGCCACCTCTTCAAGCCAGGCCACCCGGCTATAAATGATACTTTCCCGGTCCTGAAATTTTTTCCATGGACACGTTAGCATTAAACAACCTGCTCATTGACAAGAAAGCCATCTGTCCAAGAAGACCACTTAACTTCGGGTTCAGTGGGTGACCTTTTTGGGCAACTTTGACAGTCACTCAGTACTTCTGATCAGTTCTTAACTCTTCCCCCCCCCCCCCAAACAGACCCACGGCCTTGAACTCACCCTGCCTAGGCTTCAGACTTGTTTGTCATGAGAACCAGACACATTAACAGGACCTGGACTAGACTAACATGTCCTATTGCCAGATTACCTCAGGATATGCACACTTATCTGGCTGAATGAGTAAATCTAGATCTTGTGATCTACATAGTACATGTAGTAGTCAGTCAAACCTGCCCAGTGGCCACCTCATCAAGCCAGCCACCTGGGTGGCATTTTTGGGCAGGTTTGACTGTACAGTAGTCTTTTTTAATCATTCCTCCCAATTTTCATCTTCACCACAAGCACACCCTTGAACTTGAACTCACCCTGCCAAGCTGTTCTGTTAGTCTCTGGTTCTGATCGGACAGGTCGGCGATCACGTCTAGTTTCTCCCGCTCCACGGCTCTCAGGTTACTCTGCGCATCTCTCGCTGCAGACTGAGACATAAGATATAAATTACTTTATCAGCACTGGCAGACTCAAAAAATCTGAATTATCGCTAATTCAGAATTCACTAGAAAGGTAACATTTGCAAATGCATCATGTTTACCTTCACATATGGTCTGCTCTGTTAATTCTTATAATCAAACACATTGAATTTCATATATTGATAAGTTTATTGCAAGTTCTTGCCCGTGGGCTAATTGCAAGTACATGTAAGTGGACATACAAAGAACAGACAATGTGTAACTATACAGCATGTAACTACTCTAGCCTAAATATTGGAATCTAATGTTTAACTCTAGTTCTAACTTATTGGGTTCGGCTTCTTTTTTCGAGACAGTGGAAGACGAAGAATCCCACTTTTTCGGTGATGTGTGGGTTTTGTGATGTTAAGAGAAAAGTAGTTTTCTTTTTGTCTGTAAGCATGAAGAAATTGGGATATAATTTGTTGGCTTCTCTAAATAGCTCATTTCTTTCGTAGTCGTAGAAGGGGCAGGTTGAAATAAAGTGTGTTTCGTCTTCCACCTTGTTCGACCTACAGTATTTACAAGTTCTTTCGCATACAGGTGAGTTCTTGTACCGCCCTCTCTCTATTTCGAGGGGGTGAGCACTTGTTCTAATTTTGCTAATTGCAGATCGTAAGTCGAAGTCGTCTAGTTCTAGATATTTTTCCATGGCATATGATGTTTTGCAAGTCTTGTAAAACCTTAGCTTGCCAGTATCTATACTTAAACATATATATGGTGACAGGTGTCTGAATCCCTCCTGCTATATATTGCAACATAATGTCACCCAACACTAGTTACCATGGTGACAGACATGGTGACATGATCCAGGTTTATACATGTATTTGTTTGGAGAAGAAGAGGAAGAAGAAACACAGCAAAAACGAAAATATGTTTTCCTTTTGTGAAGGTAAACATAACTTCCTACAGAAACCAAATTACAGAAATTGAGATAAAAATGGTGTGCACACTATCAGCATACTTGCTGCCTAGTGCACACTTTGTATTGTCTTGTTACAATTCTGAATAAATAAATAAATTGAGACAATATCTAATCCATACATACCTGATACTGTGTCATGTCGTTTTCTATATCGGCCAGTCGACTCTCGTACTCCCCCTGTAGTCTGTCCAGCTTCTGTTTCTGCTCGTATTTCTCCTGTTCCAACAACTATGAAACAACAGGAAATCAAATTTAAGGCAACATCAAATTATTTCCTTGGTTCTTGATTGAATTTATTTATGGCTGCCACTTGCCCAACATTCAGCCTACCCCCATAGGGGATACCAAATCCACCGACGGCAGAGTTTGCATTACACAGACTAAATTCAAAGTTGGACATATCAAAGTGAAAATACAGATTGCGGACATAGCACAAGCAGGAAGGGCAGGGAGGAAAACTTGCTTCACTTAATGACACTGACTATACTCATCTATAAAACTGTGTAAACCAAGACATTAACCTGGTAAGGGCTTAGTTTGTTTTATCAGGTTTTTCCAGTTAATCATTTTGTTAAGTATGAGAACCAACAAATTAAATTCTTATGGCCTAAAAAATTGCCGTAAATGGCCAGGTGGCTTAGCAATGCAATACAGGTTTCACTGTAATTGTAAAATCACAAAATTTCATAAAAGTAAACTATAACTGTTACAAAATCTTATACCTTCAAGTTGTTTTGTCTGTATGAAAAAAGAACAGACCTGAGTTGTATAATACAGACCTCTTACGTGAGCTATAGCACATACCTCTGCTGCTGATACAATGGTTTCATACATAATTTATTAGCAACAGAATTCCATCCCAATCCAGCTTAGTAATAACCAGTGAGGCATGGCAGATATTGATTGAGCCATTCCAACTGACTGTATTTGCCTTTACAAACTGCAACCAGGTTTTTCTATTAGTTGTACTGTAAATGTCACACAACATGAAACTTACCGTACACCCACACAATCATGCATTTACTATATAAAACACACTCAAACGCCATATCAAACATTCATATCAATATCAAAATCACAACTTCAGCATAAAGAGAAACAATGCGTCAAAGACATTTGAAGTCTTTGAAATATGTTTCTCTGATATTTTGCCATCCCTCTAGATCTGAGTCTAAATGAAAATGAAAATATCATTACCTTCTCCCTGCTACCTCACTCGTTAAATTATTACAGGATCCTAGGATTGAAATAAGCCAAACACCTACTGTACTTAAGTATAGCTATTTCAGTTGAGCAGACTCACAGAGCCTCTGAGAGAGAAACTATAAATGATTTTGCCATCCCTCTGACTGAAAATGAAAATATTAACCTTCTCCCTGCTACCTCACTCTGTAACCATCACCATTACTACACCTATTTTGGTATATACGCTAAAGGATGAGTATATATTAAGTAACTTATTCTTACCTCCACTTTTTCGCTGAAGTCCTCCTGTAACTTTTCCACTTTCCTATTCAGTTCCTCATTCTGTTCTAATAGCGCTTTTCCCAGTTCCGCGGCTAAAACCAAGTCTTTCTCTTTTTGTTCTATCTGCGCGTACAGATCCTCTGGATCAACCGTTCTACCCGAGTCGTTCAGCGCGTTCTGTCGCTCCAGGGCCATCTCGAACGAGTGGAGGAAGATGTCGTCTGAGTCGATCGGTGTCGAGATCGGCGACCGCATCTTATCGGACAGGTCCAGTTCTGAGCGCCACTCTACGCCACACGCGTACATGGTGGTTCCCCGTCGTTGTCGGAACGTGTGTCCTGTGTTCGCGGGGACCCTGGAAAAATTAGAGTTTTTTCAGTAAAACTAAAAGTCTACTTATAGTAGAATTTGATTGCTGCTAAGGCAATGCCTAGCCTCTACCAGCCTTCAGGATGCGATTGGAAGATCACACACAAATAGAGAGATAACATGCCGAGGAGTTGGTGATCATAGAGTACATTTTGCCCTGGTATGTTACCTCTCTTCTTGGCCAATTTCTACTCTTTCCAGCTGCCTCCTGAAGCCTGGTAGTGGCTAAATGTTGCCTACAACTGTAACAATGCTACTTGAATTCTCAGAAACACTTTTTACTAGTGACCCACTGCATTTTTTTGGTGACTGGATGAAACTATTACTAAGAAATGGTTTCTAAATACCTGCATGTTTAACCTTCATCCATATTTAACATGAAGTTACGCCAACAACTACATTTATCACTAAGCTTAAAGCTTGTTCTTTGATTAAATGTACAAAATCAGAGATGGCAGACTTCAACCCCTTTTGCAAATTCTGACCCTCCAAAGCTCATAGAGAACAATATATAGCAGTACTGAAAATCCACTTTCTATGACAGTCTTAAATCATACCTAAATTTTTCAAGTCCTATATTAGCTATTACTAATTAAGTACATATCAGCTATTATTATTAATGTAACATTTTTCAGTGTTAAAACTTCCTGCTCATGGCCCTGGTTTAGTTTATTTCTATTTGATTTAGCAGGAAATATGAGCTCTGTGGTCCTTCATACAAATTAATTAGAAATAGCTGGTTACGCCGAAGGGCGGTTATACTGGCTATACAGATACAGAAGCTGGTGTGTTACGCCGAAGGGCGGTTATACCGGCTATACAGATACAGAAGCTGGTGTGTTACGCCGAAGGGCGGTTATACCGGCTATACAGATACAGAAATTCCACATCTGCATTTTCAAGTACATGTTGGAAACCATCCAGACTTCCTTATCTAAATGCAGGACATCTTGTCCAAGAACTCAAGGAAGGACCCCGGAAGAAGGAAGTATCTGAGGAGAATTTTAAAATCTTAGTCATGGAAACAGAATCTGGAAAACAGTTTTGCTGATACTGTGATATAGTACATTTTTGCTGATGGTACCTCAAATTTCTAGTTTCTTAAACTAGCAAAAGGAAATTTGGGGAAATAAAATTATTCATTTTACATTGCACAGAAAGAGGTTGAAATATAACACATTCAAGTTTCAGGTTATATACAATTTTTATTACTAGTAACACTACACATTTGGAATTTATAAGAACTTATTATAAGGTTACATACTTCTTTTACAATTAGATTATAATACCTGAGGCAGTATTGAAGCCATAACACTATATATTTATTTTAAACTCTACACAACTGCAATATATGGTACATAAATTTTATAATATTATATTTAGCAGTTGAAATGTAGGGCAATTCTAATTCAAATTAACCAGTTGCCTAAATTTAGGAAATGACATTTTTAAGTGACTTAAGTTATAAATGATCTTCATTATAAAGACTTGCAAGAAGCATCAGATTCTGAGTGAAATGGACAGAACACTACTAGTATTAAAAGACTTGATTACACTATAGAGACTGTTGAGGGTGCTAATTTCAGCATGTTAGCAATAATTCTAAGCCCAATTTATTGCATTTCATCAAACAATTTGTACCAAGACTCTCAAGAGGTTACAAATTCTTCTTTGGGACACCACAATTTGGCATGAGTAAAATTTACAGCACCGACGTAATGGTTTTGTCTTATGGCGTCTGTAAATCAATAATATTGGGTTACTAACATAACAGAGACGTCAGCAGACTACAATACAGAAATGGCGTCAGGAAAAAACACAAAATATTGGTCTAAAACTGCTTGACCCTTCGTGAATTTAGGAAAGATTAACTACTAGTAAATGACTTTTATAAGTCACCAAGTGATCATCAAAAACCAATAATATTGGGTTACTAACATAACACTACGTCAGCAGACTACAATACAAAATGGCGTCAGGAAAAAAATCAGATGGTCTAAATAGCTTTACATTCCTCATGAATTTAGGAAAGATATTTCTTGATAAGTCACCAGGTGATCAAAATGTTTAGGAGGTTATTTGTTGAGAATTCCCAAAGGCTGACACCCGCTAGGTTAAACAGGGTGTGGTGTCGAGTTGAGCAACATTTCTGCATAAAATTATTTTCCGTATCAAAAGCACGGGGTAAAAACGTGATCTTTTTCTCCCACTTCAAATCAGTTCAGACGATCTTTTGCCTTAGCTTAAAGATTACAACCGTGGCGACTGTTTAAGTAGTACAAGCGGCATCTTAACAAGATTAGCACCGTTCCGTAACCAACATAATTCGTGCCGTTTCACCTGAACTCACCTGAGGTAACGTTACAGTGTCTTGACCCTCTCACACCTGGACAGAAATACGCGGAAACACACCTGTCAAAAACACACCTGTCCCTTTCCGCGCCTTCCTGATTCTCTCTCAGGCTTCTCAGAATCGCCAGACAGTCAAAAAGGGGACGAAAATTGCAGAGATAACATTTTTACGTGTTTTTTTTTCCCAACACCAGGAACTGCCATGTTTACACCGGTGACGTTTTTCTACAACCACCTGTGTCCTGATTTAGCCAGGAAATATGCGGCGCGCTGATTGGTGGAGACGCGTTGTTGGTACTGACGTCACTGCTACTAGGGAGAAGCCATCTCTTTGCAGGGGAGATAGATTTTATTTTTAGCAAGTTCAACGAGGTTTTACAGCGTTAGAAATAAATTAAATTCAAACAAAATTACTTAAATAATTTTTTAAAATACATCCTTAGTGAATAATTAAGTGAGTAGTGAAAATAGTTGCTCGTAACAAATTTTTGTCTCGCCCTCTCTTGAAATCGTACACCCCTGACGTCATCAAAACTGAACATAGCACTTGTTTCGTCTACGTGTTCGGATGTTCTACAGAAACCAAGGACATGTCCTTGACAGAAACGAAACGCAAAACAGATACTTTGATATATTGGAGGCGTCTTTCTCTCTCGGTAGTCACTGTCAGTATGTTAAGCTACCGAAATACGATAAAAACTATTACGATTGAAAGATAGATCTTGCGTCTACTAATTGATAGAGAAACTAGCCTTTTATTTGGTAACCATTATGTGCCCGAATCCTCTGCAAGCTGTTACAACTAACAATGTATTTACACTATTCCTGTTCAAACTTCTCTTTTGTATCCTTGCAACACGAAAAGATGACGGAAATTCGTAGTACTACTAGGGTGGACAACCTTCATAAATATGCATGCACAAAAAGTTGGTCAAACAACATCCTAGATGCCTTGTCAACATTTTCTATGAGGGATCAAACTTCTGTCAAGCATTCTTTTGGGCCAAACCAAATTATCTCAATTGTTTCAAAAATTTTTGCAGTAGAATTTACGCAAGTCAAAACTTGGGGCTATATTCATAAGAAGCTAAATTGTCAGTAACATTGATGACTGGAGAAGGAGAAAGTTTTTAATTCAAACTCTCAAATTATTTTATTTCCAGACAAATAGCAACAACATGATGTACAAACAGCATATAATTAACTAAAGACGTTCTATCTTAATTATTTACTCTTATCTATAAAAGCAACAACACATCTCTCGTGTGTACAGCATACTCGCTCCAACACTTAGCTTACCATATTACAACAGGGACATTTTTTTCTACTGCAGCCTGGTTCTACAGCCAAACTGCTGAGGACAAAGTCAAGTATGCAGAGTTCTTAACAGGATGGAACCTATAGAAGCCCCTGATCGCCCAGATGACTGGGTTATAGGCTACAACTGCACCAAGAAAATGGCTGGATCTACTGGAAGAAGTTTCAGTTGAATGAAAAAGTCTATTGCAGTACCCAAGACACTTGCACTAAAGATAAGAAGTCTACCCAAGCCTTAGTGTCTTATAAGATTTCTTCCTAAAGTTCTTGGCTGTGTCCTGAGATTAGATGTTTGTTTGCAGTAAGTTAAGAGTGGCCTGGTATCCATCCATTTCTCAGCCGGGCCCATGGTCACTCTCACACTGGATTGCCCTACATTTTCCGCAAACACTATGTTTTCAGTCACCCCTATCTTCTGATATAGGGTTAGGGTTGTCTGAACATAAGTTAGAACATAGCAGTGCATGTAACCAGTCCTGTAAAACGTAATCAAAAACTGGAGCTAAAAAGGGGATGGATACCAGTCAAAGTTACAAGGCGTTAGCTGCAGAAAGTAGTTTTTTTCTACAGCCAGTTTGAATGTTGCACAGGTATTACACTGCTTCTGATCTACTCAAAGACTACATCAAGCATCTACAAAGGGTTTTGGCGATGGTCATGCTCCTTTGTTTCGACACCCTTATTTTTTGACAACTCAACCAATAGCTTTGTTTGACAACCCAAACCCTCTGTTGGAAGGTAGGGGCATTGAACGTAGGGACTCTAGAACAAAGGGATGTCAGAACTTGAGGTGTCACAACATAGGGGTGTCAGAAATTAGGGGTGACAGAATATAGGGGTGTTAGAATATAGGGGTGTCAGAACGTAGGGATGTCAGAACATAGGGGTGTCAGAACATAGGGGTGTCAGAGCAAGGGGGTTTCATAGTGGTGTCACAACATAGGGGCTCCCCTTGGCTATATTCCTGTGTCATACATTGTACAATGTATCTATATTGCTCTGATAGCTGGAGAGTTAGCCCGCAGAGACTCATTTGACACACTTTTACATATTCTCGCAGACAGAAGTATTCGCACATTATTTTCACAGACTCGCAACCAGATTTTCTGTGGAAAAAGTATTTACAATACAAGACACAGTCAGCCAATTTTGCATCCACAACCATTACAGCGGCATTACTATGGCAGCTCCGAGACTGGGGTTTGACATCGGCACACTTTGAGCAGGGGCAAAGGAGCAAGTCGGCAGAACGTACTGCGCCTGAGCAAATCCTGATTTTTCACGGATTTCGTTGGATGTTTGGTCAAGGTTGCAACAGACTTTTGGCTGTTGCAGACGACTGTATCTTTTCTGACATAACAGGAAAATACAAGCAGGAATTTTACCTTGTATATGCGTGAATACGACCTTATATGAGACCTTCTACTATGGTCCTATGCACAATACATTACGGGTTTCGCACAGGTGCAGTACGTTCTGCCGATATGCTGGGCAAATGGAACATTGCAAACACTTTGACAACTCGTAAATAGTTTCATCAGGTTCATAAATCAATTCAATGTAGTTTCTTTTAGGTACACAACCACATTTTCTATCAGGGAAATCTGCTTTTTCCTCTTCAGAAAGCAGCAGTAAGAAGCAAAGTACATGTAAACAGTCATCTTTCATAATCTGTAGAAGTCAGTACTGGGTCAGTTTTCAATTCAACATCACCACAAGCCAGAAAAACAAAATTTGTGACATTAAAATCAGTTACAACAATTTAAGACATTTTAAACATGATTATTCTCAATTGTACATCTTTTTTGCTGGCTATAGTATAAGTCTCTGTATAAAATACAACATAAAAGTAACGTAAACATGTTGCACATATACATGGCCAACACAAGCTCCGTACATGATCTACACAAGTGATACACATGGGGCACAAAATGTGTGACTACACACATGCTCCATGTGTGTTAAACACGTGGTACATACAAGTTGTTACACACATGGTCCATGGATGGTCCACACTTGCTACATTTGTACACACATGGTCCATGCATGGTCCACACTTGCTACACACATGGTCCATGCATGGTCCACACTTGCTACATTTGTACATACATGGTCCACGCTTGCTACACACATGGTCCATGCATGGTCCACACTTGCTACATTTGTACATACATGGTCCACGCTTGCTACACACGTGGTCCATGCATGGTCCACACTTGCTACATTTGTACACACATGGTCCATGCATAGTCCACACTTGCTACATTTGTACACCAGGGCTCGAAATACTTTTTTCAGCCAGGTGGCGCATGTTGCCACCTGAGTCAAAAGCCAGGTGGCGCCATCAGTATTCAAGTGGCAACACTTCCAAGTTATCATTTTCTTCAAATCTGCTACTTATATCTATTACGTTTTCTTCTAGTTAACTACTTAAGTTTTATGTTATAAAATAAAGTAATGTAAAGAACACAAAAGCTCTCAAACAACAATGTTTTAATAAAGAATGCCACCTTTACATCACTTCATCACAGGGCTGCCGCCGTGGGAATGCCACGCCTCTACATGGCGGCACACTTATGCGGGTGGTGTTACGTGCGCCATGTCTTCATTTGCGCAAGGATAATGTTACTCTCATCTGCCAAATAAACATACCCCCGGAATAAACATACCCCCCGGACAAATCTTCAAAATCTAATAAAAAATGGTATTAGCTCCCTTGATTAAAAAAAAAAAAAATTGGGCATAGGTTCCCCGGATGACCCCTAACCGGGGGCCAACGGTGCTTCCACAAGTTCAACAAGTGAAAATACATGATACAAATTGTACATGTACTTATTACCTGGAACTTGGAGCAAGTATTCCTAAGGTGTTACGGACATAATTAATATATACCAAACTTTTTAACCCAATCATATTTCCCAAACAAAATCACATATTGACACAGCTGAACAAATAAAAATGTGATTATGTCTATAAACTCATACTTAAAAAAAATTTAGAGACACTCAATAAAGAAAGTAAGAAAGAAAGAAAGCATGCTCTTAATATCTGATTCTCCCAATTGTAAAAGCCCCCACAGCATCCAACCGCACATTCATAGAAACAACATTATATTCTGACACTAGAAACCAATAAATTCGGAAAATTTCACGGTAATGTTTACAAATTAACCTTTTAAAAATACGAGTGAATTTTTATTTCTGTCGTTGCCGAAAAAAAATTTTTCATGCGTGTAATACTAGTACATGTATCTTGGACGCTTGGATGCTATCTTCACCTTTGACCACATTGTTGGAAGCAGCGTCGGCCATTTTCATTCTGTCTTTCGAGCTGTTTTTTCCGACAAATTTCAACCGTTTTAACATTTTACGGCCTCAGAAACTCATATAACGACGAAAACAAGTTGTAGTTGTTATTTTCATGCGTAAAATTTCTTCTGGGGATGGATTATTTTTCCGCCGAGCCGCCGAAAACTTAGCGTCGCATGCGGTCGGTCGGGCGGCCGGCAGGATTTTGTATCGGCGCGCTTTGCATGTAAACAAGGACAGTCGGAGTTGTTTACATGAAAATTGTGTTGTGAAACGCCAGCGAGGTGTCTGATTTTCTACCAATGAGAACGTTTTCTTTGTGGCGTCATGGCGAGATCGACAATTCTACGACAATTCACAAGATTGTGCCGACAATGGGGCCCGATCCATGCGATTAGCGGCTCGATCCACGCAAATTATAGGTGGCGCGCTGCGCCACCTGAGTTTAGGAATAAGTGGCGCCAAGCAAAATCAGGTGGCGCCGCGCCAGTGCGCCACCGGGTATTTCGAGCCCTGTACACATGGTCCATGCATAGTCCACACTTGCTACACACATGCTCCCATGTATGTTACACACGTGGTCCACACATTAATTGTGCACACTTGCTACACAGATGGTACACACATACAAGCTGCACATACATTGTATACACACAAGTTCGAAATTCCACACATACTCTACACATGTTCCACATGTAATCTTTCCATCTGAGTTACCTACGACCTACTCGCAAACCTCTGGTCATCTCAGATGAGAACTCAACAAGATTCGTCCGTCAAACATCACAGCTACACAACTTGGGCATCTTACAGTAAAATTACAACATTCTTCCTATCCAGCAATAAAGTGACAAAAGATCCATCTTTAAAATTAGAAGTAAGACTTTCTAAGAACTCTAAAAAGCACAGTTCACTGTGCCTGTGCTGCTACCTGTGCATTTTTAAGTCTAAGACATTAGTTGTACATTGTAGATACCTGTATAATATCTTAGTGGACTCTCTTAGTCTCCAAGAAGTTGGGAAAAGTTTAAGTCCTGGGATAATTTTAAATCATTCAAACTTAGAATGGAAGACCCCAGGATTTTCTCTGCAACAACAGAAACAAGACTAGCTATTGCTCTCACTTCTATAGGGCTGTAGCTGAACATTTCACTGGGTTAAGAGAAGTTTGGCCTAGGCATTCAGCACAAAAAGAGAAGAAAAGCATATGAGAACAATATCTGGTGTGCTGTGCTGCAACAAGTGAACATCGCTATCAAGACATCCTTATAATTGCATCTGGGGATGTGGTCATAACCTAAAGTGAGAAAGTAACCATTGCTGTAGTAGAATTCTAGTGTTTTTAAAAATCAAAGCAGCTCAGCCAAAATTTGAAACTCAAGAGCGAATAAAATTGCAGTCTGTAAGCTGGCGCCGGCAGTTTTCAGTGAAATAATTATCAAATAAAATATGAGCAAACTTTTCGCAGCCAGTATTTGAGTTCACATCGTGTTGTAGAAGGGATTTGTGCTCCGCTGTTTCCTGTCTTTTCGCAATCTGCTGACGGGGTGGTTACGACTGTACTGACGGGTTTTCCTGTTAGATAAGACTACAGGAGGGTTGGAGTCAGCGCCCAACCTGGGACGAGTCCTAACCAGGGGTTTGGCTGTCTGGAACTGGTGGTTTTCCTTCTCTGAGCTGTTTTGTTCTGTTTGGCCTTCGGAGAACGATTTTGACCGCTCGACTTCCGCGTGCTGGCGTTCCAAGGTCTTTGTCGCGTCCTCGGCCTCTTTGGACTTGTCGAAAATGCTGACGAGCACGCGAACGCTCACGTCTTCTGCGGCGCCCCCGTCGCTTTTCGTTGGGGAACCAACCGGGGAACTTTTCTCAGACACGCAGTAGCGCAAGTTCTCGGGAGCGGACTCGGACCGCGTAGAGAAGGCCTGGAAGTCTTCAAGACTTTGCGTCGACGACCGTCTCGAGTCGTCTGCGTCTTTAAGTGTGGTGACTCTGTCGGAAAGTCCCGTCGCGGAGGCCGACTTCTTCATCGTGTTTGACACGTCGCTGCTACTTAAAGCTTCCAGTTCCCGCGTTCGTTTCTTCACAATCCCCTCCTCCGAACTAGAGGATAGTTCTTCTGCTGTAGGAGTGCTTGGGGCAAACGGCGCGCCATCGACAGAGTCCGGTCTAGGCTCGGTGGGCGTGACCACCTTACGTGTTTCTATGACGCCTTTCTGTTGCTTCACCGCCCCAACGAACCATGGTATATTCTCTGCAGGGTACGCCGACGCGAGCGGACCTTTGTCTTCTACTAACGGTAAAGATTTCTCCACTGTAGTCCCGGACGTTTCCATGGATGATGCTAGCTCCTCGTAGTTGGACCCCACCGATAGCCTCCACCTCTGCTCGAAGCCGTCCTTGTGTTTCTTGACGATCCCCGACTGTAGCATGACGTTCTCATCCCTGGAAGACTCCTCTTCTTTTCCAACTGGTAAGGAAGTCGGCCTGGCCGTTGGCGGGTCGGACGTCTCCAGAATTGTGACCGGCCTTGTTGGCAGGTTTCTTGGTAACACCTCGGAGGATTTGGCAACCAGATCGTTGGTTTTGTTTTCAGGCCGGTCCAACTCTTCCTGCTTGTTGGCTCCTTGCTCTGCAGCTTTGCTCTCCGGACCTGATGAAGATGATTCTTGCCCTTCCGACCACGAGCCTGCGCCGAATCTTCTCTCAATCTGCTGCTTCTGTTGTTTGACAACTCCTGGTTTCCACGCCAGGCTAGAGGACTGTTGATCACCTGCGGGCTCCAATACAGTTGTTTGCGCTGGCCCTGTTGTTTTGGCCAAGTCCTGCTGGGTTGCTGAAGGCTGTTTCGCCGGACCAACACTCGTTCCTGAGACGTTTTCTACTCTTAACAAAGGCCTTTCTGCAGATGACGATGCAGAAGCTGAACTCTTGGGGTCGGATTTCGTCCTCAAGCTGGACACTTTCTCCCTTTGTTGCTCCATCCCTTCATTGCAAAAGAGAGAGAGAGAGAATGGTTTATTCACACCCAACCTTTAATGTACACCTAAGACAGTTTCCAGTTTTAGTTTAATTTATGTTTTTGTATAAGCAACTGTGCTTCTTGCCTGATACTAATAAATATAAGTGAATAAGATAATACAAACTAGAAAGGTAACATTTGCAAAGCAAATGCATAATGTTTACCTTCGCATAATGGTCTGCTCTGTTAATTCTTACCATTACTCTCACTATAAAATTGAAACACTAGTTACCATGGTAACAGACTGTCTGGTTCAGGTCATTGACCTTTTTGGTTCGGAGAAGAGGAGGAAACAGAGCAAAAACAATATGTTTTTCTTTGGTAAACATGAAAAAAATATACCATGGTGATTGTCCTCGGCATCAGGAAACGCGACGTTCCTGGGAGTCCGGACGTCGGGGTCGCTGTAGCTGCGGGAGTTCTTCAGGTCCTCGCAGCTCTGCCGCCATTCGCTCTTCCGCCGGGTCGTCTCCTCGGAAACTGCCAGGGCCGGCGACTCCGAAAACGCTCGCGGCCGGTCGGAGCCCAGCGACGGGTCCCCCTGGGAATTAATGTACAGGTAAGTGTGTGAGTGAGTAGTGAGGTCTAGGAAAAAAAAGATGTGTTTCCTTTTTCAGTCCTTGGGTCAGTAAGTAGCTATAGGATTATCTTTATGTTCTTTTTTTAAACTTTTTTTTATCTCTAGTGATCCAACTTGTACAATACAGTTTAAAAAAGTAAATCTTGTATGAGGCCATTTTCAATGTCAATGTTGGAAAACAAATTGTACAACATTTCATCACTCAGGTATCAGATCATAGAGCTAGAAAAGGTTGATCGCCTTGAAAAATTCACGTCCCTTGCAGGGGTCGTTGGTCTAGGGTCGGCAGGATTTTCTAGTGTCAGTCAGGATACAGGAAACACAGCATTTTTTTCCTAGGCCTCAATGAAAAGTGACCAGCAGGTTGATTTGAGTATTTTGTGAATAAACATTATGATTCAAACAAACAACCAGACCTTCATCTCGGAGCACCACTGCACAATGTCTCGTATCCAGCTGTGGTCGTCCTTTGGCATGGATGTGGGGCGCACCTTCCTCCCGGCAGCGGGCGTGGCCGGCGCCGTCGTCGTGGAGATCTCCGTGGTAACGGCCCCACCCGTCTGCAACTCGAAACCCGACACGATCTCCCTCACCGACATGACCTTGGGGTCAAAGTCAAGGACGTGAGCCTCCGCACTGGCTTTGGGAGGCTGGCTTAGGCTCCGTTGATACTCTTCAATCTGAGGAAATGGATGCCAAAATTTTAACATTACTTTTAGTATCTAGTTCAAAAGTAAAAGAATGTTCATAGTTACCAGAGAGATACACAACAAAGCCATCATGAACCCACAGCATTGGCCTAAAAGAGTTGTGTTAATGTTCAGCTCTGAATGGAATGACAGTTGCCAAAAAGACCTTACAGTAAAATGACATACTTTTAGGTTAGCTCCCCAATCCTTTCTTGATTCTAAGCATTCCATAATGATATTTGTTTATAGTATTTCTGACTGTCAGCTAAGCTTAATAAGTAATCTATAGTGTCTAACTTTGAGTCGAGTTGAGTCGAATGGGATCCACACTTAGGCCACACCAATTTAATTTGTTGGTACTCGGATTCGCCTCTTCGTTTTTTCTGATTTGCAAAAAAAAAAATGTGATTCTGGTCCTGAATCAACTGAAAAATGCTCATGTTTTGCCCCCCAACAGTTGAGGAAAGTCCTTTTCTTCCTAGTTGTTACAGTTTTTCCATCTATCAATGCAGTGGTTTGATTAAAAGTTCAAAATTCAATGTTTAAATTTTAACCCAGCCTTTTGTGTTGACTTCATGGCTCATTTTGTAGCATTTAAGCCTATAATAGGATGCCTAGACCTGTTTTTATTTTATTTTTTTCGCCCTGTCGCTTCATATTTTTTCTGAAAAAATCCGAGAACCAACAAATTAAATTGGTGTGGCCTTAGCATTCATGTACATGACAGTAGCTATTCTCCCTGTTATTTTTGTGAAAAGTAACACAATGGCAAAGTGGTACGAGAATAAAGTTTAAAAGTTTCAAATAGAGAGGACTGACCCCAGCCTGCTCCCCCGAGTCCACCTGCTGACCAGCTGCAGCTGCGGGGCCACCTGAAGCACCTGCGTGACCAGCTGCAGCCTCCCCTGCCACCTGCCCCTCCACCAAGCCTGCCGAACCCACCACCACATTAGCAGCCACCACCACGCCAGCCGTGACCTGACCTTCCACCTGTGAACCTTGACCTTTGTCCTCCCTACATTCTAACCCCTCTGCCATGTCTGGTGCGGGGTCAGCGCGCTGCGGCGGCTGTACCTTCGTTTTCACCGGCGTGACCGAGACCAGCTCGGGGCACGTCTGCGAAAGCCGGTCGTTCTCCGACCATGACCTCTGGCTGCCCTTCCTTCCCAGTGACGAAAACGACTTTCTACGCGACTCTCTGCGAGGACTCGTGGGCCGGTTGAATTTTTCCATCAGGCTAAAAAAGTCGACTTTGTAGGACGGAACTGTATCATCGTCTTCTTCAGCTTCGCTGTCTGACCTTGACGGCTTCTGTTCCTCCCCCTCCCCTGGCTCCAAGGTCGCGACCTCAGCAGTTCTCAAGGTCGCGACCTCAGCAGTTCTACCGTTGGCCGGGTTCTCCTTCTCTGCTGCAGAGTGTGTTTCCTCACTCGTGACTTCTAGCGTCACGTCAAGGTCACTGGACGACCCAGCGTCCTCCTCACCTGACCCCTCGCGACCTTCCTCCTCCTCGGAACCGCTGCCCTCGATGTTCTCAAGGTTGGCCATGCTGCTGACCTCCATCTCCCTGGCGACCTGGGGGTCAGCGGACTGGTCCATTTTGGGAGTGGAGGTGGTGAACACCTCCAGTTCTACAGAGTCTACAGATTCAGTGTCGGTGTGGTCGCTCTTGTCGCCTTCTGTAGTAGCGCTGGTTGGCTGCTCCTGGGTCGGCTGGCGCCACAACTTGTTGTGCCTCTGGTTGCTATGGCAACATAAAACAAACAACGCTTGAGTCACCATTAGACACCTGGCAGTGAAATGAATCAACCCCACCTGGTAACTATTGGCACTAGAGCCCTCTAGCATCCCCTATTGATACTACAGCTCCCTCTCTGAATTCAAGATATTGTGTTGTCTTTGTCAACAGGACTACAACTTTTATGGTTTATGGTCCCTCCTACTGGTACTGCAGCCCCCTATGGCAGCCCCTATTGGTACTACAGCTCCTACTGGTACTACAGCTCCCTCTGGCAGCCCCTATTGGTACTACAGCTCCTACAGGTACTAGAGCCCCCTCTGGCAGCACCTATTGGTACTACAGCTCCTACAGGTACTAGAGCCCCTCTGGCAGCACCTATTGGTACTACAGCCCTACAGGTACTACAGCCCCCTCTGGCAGCCCCTATTGGTACTGCAGCCCCCTCTGGCAGTCCCTATTGGTATTACAGGCCCACCTGGCATCCAGGATGCCCTGGTATTCCTCCAGCTGTTGCATGAAGGCTGAGTTGGGCTTGATGCAGCTGCGGATGCTCTTGACGTAGTTGTAGGCATCCTGCATGGTCATGTTGTACTCCTTCATGGCGTAGGCAATCACCTGCAGTTTGGGGCACACCAGACAGGGGGCACTGCTCAATGCACAGCACAGTAAGGTGAACACAACCTCTTGATGGTGTACACACAACCCTAAGTTAACCTCCTCCCTGCTGCTAAACAGCTACATTAGCATGCAGAAGGTTAAAAATTATTCTCATAGCTACGCTCACTCGGAGGTTTATTCAGTGGTTATCGCACCTGACCAGGGATTATCTCACCATATACACTTCTAGGCTGGGCATTAACCCTTTATAAATGAGACTTTCGACTCATTCATTCTCATATGTATCTATTTTACCTACAACAGATCTGATACCAGACTATGGTTCATGTTTAAACTTTGTTGATTCTTTCCCTTGGAAGAGAAGTTTACACTCAGTCATTCATGATCTGGCTAGACCAGCTTACCGTCGATGCAGACCTGCTGACACCCATCTTACAGTGGACCAGACATTTGGACCCCATCCTCCTGTAGACAACAAAGAATCATGTTGAAAGAAGACTTTTTATACAATATTTTTTCAAGTGATATAGGGGAAATCGTCTACATATATATTCATGAAAGTCACTCAAATTGGGTAAAAAAAAAGTACACCACAGTTGCATTGACTTAGGTTTGCTTCTCTTCTTTCCCTCTAACAAAAGTTGGTACAAAAAAGTTTGCAACTCCAACAATTTTCCAAAATGGTCTAAAACATTGGTATGAAACTGCAAGTATTGCTAACACTATTGAAAGAAAATGAGAAATGTTACTTGTTCCACATACTTTGCCTTCTCGATGTACTCGTATGTGCGGTTCCAGTGGCTGAGTAGTTCTGAGTCCTCCTCATCGTAAACACGCACGTTGCAGTAGTCAAACATGCCTGGGTAGAAGTTATCAATTTCTCGTGTGACGTTTAGGATGTATCCAACACTGGGGAGACAGAAAAGGGCAGCATTAGCAGAAGAAGGATTAAAGTTTAATAGTACACACATTTGACTATTTCCTGAGAGGAATGAAAGAGGCCATCTACATCAGGCCCATCACTCTTCACTCAACAGCGACAGGGGCCGACATTGTCTACCAGATACCTTTGACCCAGTGTTGACGTCACACTTCAAAGAAGCCACATGACAAGCCTCGCTGGGTCAGTCTACTGAGGAAGACCAGAGTGACTGGTTGAAACTTGAAAGATCTAGGTGAGAGAACTTCTTTGTGTTGGATCAAGGGTTTTAACTCTAAACATGTAACTACCAAGTTGAACACAGATGAGCTTTCATGATAGAAAAGATGGCAAACACATCTTAGCTGCAGTTCCCAGTACTCACCCATTTTGCTGTAACTCTTCCAGGTTTGATGCATTCCACTCTGAACCCTGGAGTAAGACAAAAAGGAGGAAGAAACTGTTACCTTCATCCACAAAAGATGGACTATTCTTTCCTGTTTTTTGAAACAGACTGTTAGTATTCAAGATCTCCTACTAATAGCTGGTGTGTTATGCCGAGGGGCGGTTATACCAGCTATATAGACACCAAATCTTTGCACATTTGATTGCAGGAGTTGTTTAAAGCTTTCTAGTGATGATGCCCCAACTGTGCTTGGTGGCAACGAGTTCCAGTCTACGATAGTTCTTGGGAAATCCGAGTTTTTGAACACCTCAATTCTTGGTTGATAACTCTGATATTTGAAGGCATTATGACTGTTTCTTGTTCTTTTCTGGGCTGGTATCAGATACTTAGTGGTTGGTATGTCAACCAGTTTATTAGTCATTTCGTGAAGACAGTATTTACCAGGTAAAGGTGTTCGAAGATCTCTGAAGCAGCGTCCATCTGTCCCAGAATGATGATCATCTCCTGGTCAATGTAACCTCTGAAGTCGTGCAGGTTGGTGTTCATCTTCTTCTCAACTTGCTGACGGACCTAAAATATACAAACAAACTAACCATTAGCCAGTAGCAAAGTCAACACTGACAAGGTTCAAACTATATACTACATAACTCATCTGTTTACTGGAAAAGTCTGCTCAGCTTAACCAGATAAGCTACACCTTAACTAGATAATCTACCTGTTAACCAGATGGCCCACCTGTTAACTCGATAACCTACCTGTTAACTAGATAGCTCTCACCTGTTTACTAGTGACGTTCTCCAGGTCAACCTGCATCATCACCATCTTGAGGAACTTGCGGATGTTTCGCTCCGTCAGCACTTTTTCTGTTGGTCTGGAGGGATGGAAGTTTGTTAGAACCATGAATTGTTTATTCATAAGAAGCTCACATCAGCCTGTAGAACACTTTTCATTGAGGTCATGAGGGAAGAGGTAGGACCTAGGAAAAAAATGTTGTGTTCCCTAGTGTGTTTCCTAGGGATTACCTTTTTTTTTTGCTTTTTTTCTTGACTTAAACAATCTCTAGTGATCCAACTAATACAATACAGTTTAACAAATTTAATAAAACTTGCATGAGGACACTTGTGTTTTCTATGTTAATGTTGGAGAACCAACTGTACAACATTTCATCACTCAGGAGCTAGAAAAGGTCTATCAGCTTGAAAAATTTATGCCCCTTTCAGAGGTCTGCAAAAAAGGTTAGCGTCGGTTGGGGACAAAAAGGAAACACAACATTTTTTCTTAGGCCTAATAGTTTCATGAGACAAAAAAAAAGACAATCCTGACCTGTCTCCATATAATGAGGGAGACTCAGGCCGATGACACATGAGGTCGTCCAGGATGTGCCACTCCTTCACACACGATTGGTTGGAGGAGATGCGGTTGCTATAGTAACCGGTCCAGGTCAGGAAGATGCTGCCGTCAAAGTAGTTGTACTCTCGCGCGATGGCGGCCACCTTGTGGAGACTCTGAAGGGCAGACCTGGGCGGGGAAACATGTCAAGTCAAGTCAAAGTTTATTGCTCAATGATAGTAATAGGTACAATGTATGTATGGCACATAATAAGATTACTAGCTGGTATGGGTCTATCAGGATTATACATATACAGTTGCATGCAAAATTATTCAACCCCTCTTGTATTTTGGGGAATTTTGTCAAAATAAGGAAAATTACAACTGTAGAACATGCCTAACTCATGTAAGTGATTAACATATAGTTAATTACAATTTAATATCAGAGAAAAAGTCAATATTATTTCATAGTTCATCTGAAATGGCAACTTTAATACAAAAAGCAAGTGGCAAAATTATTCAACCCCTATACAACTCATCAGCTAGGGTTGATTATGGAGAATCACAACTAACATGCCACGTCCAAAAACACTAGTAATGCAATGAGGTAAGATGTGCATGTCCATAGTATTTGTATTATCGTGTAATTTTCCACCAAATGTGTAGTATTACACGCCTTGTGTCATTACTGCTCACATGCCTCTTGCTGGCAAAGTGGTGAAGGCAAGAGAGTTGTCCCAGAGGTTTAAATAGGAGATAGTAGCATCACACAATTAAGGTAATAGATATAAGAGGATATCCAAGTTCTAAATGTTCCCAGAGACACCATTTGGAGCATTATTCGCAAGTTCAAGGCATCTGGTACTGTGGCCACACAGGGAGGTCATGGACGAAAGAAGAATATTTCATCAGCTACAGCAAGGTTCCTGAGAAAACAGGTGGACAAACCTCCAGGCTTACTGCAAAGGACCTGAGACACAACTTGGCTGGAGGAAGAAGTGATGTTTCAGGCGGTACAGCATGCTGCACACTTCATGCTGAAGGGTTCAATACCAGAGCCCCAAGACGCACACCGCTGCTGAAGCCAAGCCACAAGAAAAGTTGCTTCCAGTATGCTGAACCCAGACTGTAAAACCCACAGAACTTTTGGGACACTGTGGCTGATGAAGCAAAACTTGAGTTCTT